AAGTTGTCAAAGGGCTTTTTCTCCCCACTCAGTTGAACATATATTCCGTTTCTTGTGTTCTGTTTCTTCAACTACTTACAGGGTACTTAAGTACCTGGTACTGATTAATTGGTATCTGATTCACAGACCAGAACAGTCCGATCAAAAGATCAGTCACCTAAAGGAGATCTCTTGATTCCTGTTTCACTTTCAAAAGGCATTGTGTCATCTTATATTGACAGTGTTAGAAACTGCATCAGCACATTTTTTCCCCCAGAGAATTTGTATAGATGCCTGTCCCTTCAGTTTTCACTCGCAATTATTGCCTCATATGACTGTTTTCACATTAATTCTGTATAAGCAACAGAGTTTTAGATTATCTTCATAGTGTCTGTAGCCTTTATATTAATCTTTTCTCGTACCTGCTGTATTTTTTAAATTTTTAAATGTTCTGATTTACTTGAAAATGGTTTCTATTTAAATACATATGTTTAATGCATTTATTTTTAATAGTGGGTGGTTTTTTTCTTATTTAGAGATAAACTTTCTTTTCACATAATTATTTTATATCAGTCTGTCATAACACTATCATCATAATGTATCTCTAACCATGAATCTTAATCAACTGCAATTATAAAATGACTGGTTGGGGATAAATTGCCACTAGTGTAACTGGAATTATTAAAACACTGAGCTCTAGAAAGAGGGAGTGTGAACTGAGCTACTAGTTAGGTGCCTAAGCATCCAAAGCCATATGATTTTATTTCAGACACTGTGTTGTTCTGAGGAGTAAGGGTCAGCTTGCACTCACTTTACTCATATATAGCAAAAATGGATTATTTACTACAATAGGGTGATTAATAACATAAAACTGGTTACGCTGTCTTACCTATTTACAACTCAGTAATGAACCAGCTCTGAACAGCGTCTACAGCCCTTCTGTACAACACTTATCTCCTCAAAAGCATACTGTACCCATATCGGTGTGATATTATAGTGGGAATAGTCCCTCTCTGCCAGAGAAAGAAAAGTTGGTACTCAGTTGGGCAGTTATGGATTTCACACCTCCAACACATCACAAACCTCTGAATTCTGCTGATTATTCCAAGGTTCAATAAAGGAAAACTTTCCCAAAGGAAGTGTATAAGACAGTGTACAAGAAGTGAGGCTACCAGGTGAAGTTTCTGCTGGGCTTTCCTGGGCAGCATCTGCTTTTGTTCTGGTTTTCCCCACTGAGCTTTGCACTGAAGATGCTGGCTAGCTTTCCTCCTGCTCCCTCAGCTGTGGGGCTGCCCAGCTCTTGCTGCAGCACTGTGTGTGGGGTTTCTGCCTGATAGGACATGCTACAGCTGAACAGCTGCTTTGAGGTCCACATGTAAAGTCACACTCCAGCAGAGAGCCTCCAAGAGGGGTGCCAAATGCTTACGGTGACTTCTGGAAAATAGTTAAATGTAAGTGAACAGCAGTGCTGTTTGGGAAGCATTTCAAGCCCTGCAGCTCTCCCATGGGCCATCTCACACAATTGAAAAACCCAACGTATTTCTGGGTTCTTTTCAGTATAAACTCTTCCTTTTATTGGGAACTTTTCCTGAAGACACCTGGCATGTCCTCTCTGTCCCTTTTCTCCATTCCTTTTTTAGTTTCCTTAGCTCTCACTCCACTGCTTTCCCCCCTGCAACTGAAAGCTATTTTCTCGTGGCTACAGGGAGACTGTGACTGGGATCACAGCTGCTGCGTTGCTGGGGTCCCCTAGCCAAGCCTGGACTGTATCAGCCTGTCAGGCCAGGCTGGCTCCGGCTGACCGATAGGGCAGGCAGTTGCTGAGAGCAGCAGCATTTCAGTGGCAACAACTCATCCAAAACCAGTTCTTGGATGAGAGGGAGAAGATAACTTCAGGCTGGTAGGGAATTATGTTTGCCAGCTGGCCTGGGGGAGCAGGGCTGCTACAGTTAGCTGTATCTCCAGCTATCGGCAGTAAGGAAGGTAACAGAATAGAGTGAAGCCCAAGCCAAAAATCCCTGCTGAGGTAATTTAGCAGTTCAGGGGGGCTACCCCGTATGAGGGTATTTGGAAGATGGTAAATTCCCAACGGGAGCTCAAAGTTTCCAGTAAAATCTGGGATTGCTGACAAGGTCTTCAAAAAGACTGCTTGATGATTGCCTTGAAACTGGAAATGAATAAGAACAAAGGTATGATGGGTTTGACTATTTCAGAAATGGCTTTTTTTTTTTCCTCACTTTTGGGGTGATTCCAGCTGATGGCATTTGCCAGCTGGACACTTGCACAGGCTCTGACAGCCCTACCAGCACAGGGATGGTTCTAGTAGAGTGGAGTCTAAAGCACTACAGGCCTTGGTACCTGTGGTATACAACCAAACTCTGTGTTTGCTCAGATTTAAATTTCTTATCTCAGGTACCTGTAGGACAGAGCCCTTCTCGAGCTCCGCATTTCCACAGAGTTATACTGTTACCAGTGCTAGTTCAGGTATGTCTCTGTGACCACACATTATAGCCCAGATACAACAGCAATTGGAACTCAGCCACTAAGTTTGTGTATTTATGTAGGTGTATATATATGTACATATGCATAGGAGTTATTATGGTATGAGCAGAGGGTAATTAGTGGTGACTCAGTGCAGGGAAAAAAACTAACAAACCTGGCTGTCAGAAGTTCATCACACACTGAAATGAATGGCAATTGCTGTAGTGCCACTTTGTGGTGAAAATGAGAAACAGATACGCATAAACTTCTTTACACTTAAACAGTTACTGAAACAAGAAGCTGAGATTCTGACTTGTGATTTAACTCTGCTCAGCTTGGGCACCCTGGTGCTCCTAATCTCTGAGCCCAGTGACCCTCCTTCCCCTGATGTTAGGTCTGCATTGAGAAATGTCACCATCTTTGGCCAGAAGGTGAATGATCTCTAGGCACTTTGGCCAAATCATAGAATCATTGAATGTTTTGGGTTGGAAGGGACCTTAAAGACCATCCAGTTCCAACCCGTCTGCCACAGGCAGGGACACCTTCCATGAGACCAGGTTGCTCAAAGCCCCGTCCAACCTACCCTTGAACAACTGCCAGGGATGGGGCAGCCATAGCTTCTCTAGGCAACCTGTGCCAGTGTCTCATCACCCTCAGAGGGAAGAATTCCTTCCTAATATCTAAGCTCAGTCTTCACTCTTGACAGTTGAAAGCCATTCTCCCTTGTCCTATCCCTATATGCCCTTGTAAAAGTCCCTCTTCAGCTTTCTTGTCAGCCTCTTCAGGCACTGGAAGCTGCTCTACAATCTCCCCAGAGTCTTCTCTTCTCCAGGCTGAACAACCCCAACTCTCTCAGCCTGTCTCCATAGGAGAGGTGCTCCACTCCTCTGAGCATCTCTGTGGCCTTCTCTGCACTCTTTCTTACCTTTTATAAAATTTTTCCTTTTGTACCCCCTGTACACAACTTTCTCTTCTTGTTGCTTTTCTAGGGAACAGCATGAACTTTGCTGTGTTCAGTGCCTCCCATTACTATGAAGTGAGAGTAGAAGGATGCCATGGAGCACTGTGCTGAGATAGGTGCCAGCAGATTGTCCATTGTACTGCCTTCTTTCTAGGTTTTAAAATAGAAAGTGTGTCTTGTGCATTTCCTAAGAAGATCAAATTGCCTCATTTCCTCTAAGTATAAATGTTATTGCATTACTGGTGGGCTGTGCTCTCATATGTGCAGCAGAGAGGGATCTAGCTCAGCCACCAAGCCATTTCAGGTGGCTTCTAAAACAATAAAAGGAGGAAATGCTTGTTCTCATGGCAATACTCTGCTTTCAGTGGTTTGTTTTCCAGTCATGTGAAATCTGTCTTTCAGATTAGATACCATATACATTGCTCATTGTTTTGTTACATTCTCCAGAAGCATTCAAATGTCATTTTGAATGGGTACATTCAGGGCACCAGTAAGCAAAGTTCAGTGCACTGCCCTGTTTTCACAGTCATACCTTGGGAGAAAATTGGGTCTTCTTTGAGCCTGCTAAAACATAGGTGATACAGAAAACAACCAGATAGATACTTTGTAGTCTGATGGCCAAAGAGAAGTGGCCTAAATCAAGTCTTGATTGCTGGCAAATCTGGAACAAAGTGCCCGAGATTAATTGTCAAAGGACAGCAATCCTCAGCCATAGCTGCTGAGGCTGTTCAAAGTGAACATTGTATTTTACCTCTTGCCAGAGGCTATAGGAGAATCTAGAGATGATGCTTTCCCATATTGGTCTTTGCGAGTATCAAATACTGATCTCGTCTCAATGACTCTAAGGTCTAGTTATCAACTACATATCATGGTAGATATGCAGGTGCAAAAACATACATTGAGGGGGGTGTTGGGAGAATGCATGGGGCAATAGCACACACTAGAGAAAAAGCAGGAGGCTGTTAGTTGGATGTTGTTGTAATTTAATTTTGTATTGTCACAAAGAAACGTCTTATCTTTAAGAATTATCCAACAGTTCTACAGTGCAGTAGTGACTAGTTGGATCTTGGTCCTATAGCCTATAATTTAGTGGACAGAAGAGTACAGCCCCCATAGTCCATACAGATGTGTGCTCAATCTTTAACTTTGTCAAATGTGCACAAACACATAAACTGCTGGAAAATTCTCATTCTTTCTTGTTTTTCTGAATCCTACATCAAGAGAGTCATGTGTGCAATTAGCTGACAGACTTCAGTGAAAGATTTTGTTTTTTGCTACATCATACTCTCAGCAAGGCCTGACCTAGTATGAAATGCAGAGTTTCACTGAAGATGATAATGAAATATATATTTATATTACAATCTAGATTTTGTTGCTGAGACTAAGATTTTCTCATATACACATATAATCTTAATGCAAGAAAACTGCCATAACCCGATAGATTGTGGATGTGTATCTTTATAAACCACTTGCAAGGTTTTTTTGGAGTCAGATTGTCACCATAATGCTTGGAATTGAGATAGGTATTTCTAATAATTCCATTTTGCTACTGATTTAATCTCCTCATGTGCTTTTATAGTGCTTCCTTGTGAGTGAAATCCAAGGATCAGGAGTTTGCATCCTCACCAAAGTCCCACAGCAGAATTGAACTTTAGGAAAGCAAGTCCTGGGCACACAAGGTAATGGTAGATTCCTGACATAGTTCCATTGAGCTGTCCCAGAGGATGAACAAGCTACAATAAAGTGAAACATTTCTTCCCTAGTTAACATGCTAGGCAACTGTGCTTTGATCAGGTTTTGAGAAACACATCAGTAGCTTGATTTCAAATAAGAAATCAGAAATGTTCCAGGCTGACATAATTCTGACTCCTGAGTTATTATTTTAAATTATGATAGTAAACAACCTTCTGTTTCAACATTTTTGGCTATGTCACAGAGCCAAAATACCCCCAGATTTGTATCTTCCTTGAGGTTCATGAACATCTGATGTCTTGGGTAGCTATGAAGAAAATGAACTCATTGTGTCCATATTGCAAAATCTAACCTTCATTCCAAGGTCTTTTTTGCAAGTATGTTTTCCAAAGGGTTATATGTGCAAATGCTTCTGGCACCAGGATTAGCAGTTTTAAATTTTATTTTCACAAACCTCCACAAAAATATGGCAACAAAGGTAAAAACTTTTGACAGAATGCAGAATGATTGGAAACAATCCTTCTGATTGAATAAGGCTGGACTTTATTTCAGTCTCTTCAGCCTCTCACAGTTATGTTTCCATCCCTGCAAGCAGCATCCATCTGCACAGGCGATTGAGACAGACAGTTACTCATTTACAGAGGGAAAGCTAAAAGCCAGGCAGGAAACAGCTGAGTGGAAACCTGGGGTCCCTTATGGAGAAACAGCAAGTTGCACAGTTAAACTCTGTGTATGTGTGAGGTTCTTGTTTTGTTATTTGTTTGTTTTGGTGGTTTTTTTTATTTCTTTAAAGAGAGTTTCATAGAAGAGAAAATGTGCAGCAGGGCCTCTGTCCTCTGTATCTCTTCTAGCTGGTGTTTCTGGACATCACGTCAGAACAGTCCACATTCAGGAAAGGTCTCCCATTAATATGAAAAAACTGGATCTGGCCTTGGCTTCTAATTTTATTACAAGTAATGGATCTCTAAAAATATAGATGTTTGAAGGCTTTTTAAAAAAATCATACTTCGAGTTGCAAAAGTAGCAAAATCATTTGGATCATCTGTATTCAAAGAAGATCGCAAGACTTGTACATCATGGCAGCTGTGCCAGTTTGGCAATATGAGAACCAAAGCCAGCTGAAGTGAAAACACAGTTTCTAAGTCATGTTATACTTTAACATGAATAAACTCCAAGTCAGTACCACAAACTTTTGCTGGAATCGGGGGAAAAGGAAGGAAAGAAATAGAAGAGGGTGTTAATTTCTAGTCTTCAAATTCTTGGGGAGTAAAACCCATCCATTAAGAAACAAGTTCATATTGCTCTGTGAAGCCATTTAATAAGGTTTTTGAAGTTCTGCTAGTGCTGCAGAACAAATTTGCTTTTGTATCTTCATCCTGTCTCATTTGGTCAGTCTGTCTACCCTGAATGCCCCAGCTCCTGGTTTTGGCCATTCCAACAGTTTTGCCTTCTGATCCTATGGGCTACATAACCCTGTCTGTATCTTTCTTGCAGTGTTTCTTCCACACCTGCTGATGCTTCTTTCTGTCTTACACATCTTCAAAATCTGACTAACCCTTTGCCACTGTCCAAAGATCATCAGAGGAACTGACAAAGGAATCATAATTTCCTTTTTTTCAATCTCCACCTGAGTGTGACCAGTCCCTTACTGCTTTCAGTTCAGGTGAGAAATAACAGGTGCAAGAAATGCATCTCAGCTCAGAAGCTTTACAGAAATAACTAGTGCTGAAAACTGCAAAAACTAAATTACACTCATTTGATGTACTAATAACTAGGCTGTGCCCCTGTACTTTGCCCAAGGCAGAAGGTGGAGTGGGCACAGAGCAGGAACTTGCCAGGTGCCCCATAACCTGCTGCTCCCTGCAGCAGTGAGCGTGGCTCCGTGACCCCTCTGCCTGTGTGCATCAATACTGGCATAGGGTGTACATGTCCTGGCCTCAGGTCTTGGGGGTGGTTGAGGAGAGAAATAATGATGACAGAGCAAAACCAAACTGTGTATTCAGTGCCTGTTTTATTCTTCAAGGTGAATAAGGAACTCGGAGTCAGACCACGTACTTTTACCTCACATCTAGTTATTGCTGAGCATGACTTTAGTATGATAGGATGACAAATAAGGAGAAGCCTGGGTTTTAAAATACATTGGGCATTTCATATTGAAATACAATTTGAAATACTAAATTTGTAAAAAGTGTCTTTCAAAAATCCACACAACTTTACACTAAAGCTTTGTAGAAAAATTTCCTTGATGTTATATTCAGTTGTTGCTTAAAAATACAGTAGTATTTTAGAGTCCTAAAAATCTCAAGGCTATCTTTAATTGCCATGCTTTGCCAAATAAATTTAGTGTAAAAATGGCAGTGGTTAATGCTGACAGGAACCCTCCAAGTTACACAGACAGTGTCAAAGGCAGGGCCTGCCATGGTACGGTCAGCATGGTGTGTCTGACACAATACAGGCAGCCTTCCAAGAATGGGCAGAGCACTTTACCAGGCACTGGTGAAGCTCTGCCACCATGGTTTTGTTTTCACACAACAGACCTTGCCGTTCTCCAACTTTGTCATTCAACATTCTTTTCAAGTCACTATGCCTCCTGGCGTCAGCAAGTGATGGTTTGGGAGAAAAATTAGATGTTAATGGTATATTCATGTGGGTTGCTGTGCAGCTGCCCTATACAGCCATGCCAGAGGCACATGAAGGAAACACTGGTCTGGCACCAGGGCAAGGATTGATAGAAAAAAGAACCTGGAAGTAAGATTTAGCTAAGTAAGTGAAAAGAAAGAGCCAAGTTTTCACAGGTACAGTCTTAAGCAACAAATGCATTACCTAAGGTCCTGAAGTGTGATATGTAGAGAGTTTAAGTCCTGTTGTAGCCTTTATGTGTCTTAGAGAGAGTCCCTGGCCTAGCAGAGGCAATTACCTGCCTCAACATTTACTGTGCCTGACATGGAAATGGAACCTAAAAGCCCACACCCAATACCAAGCAGGGAAATGAATTAAAGGCTGATAATGTTTATACCAACCCTGTTCTATACATGGGCTGTACAGGAACGCTGGCCTGCGAGAACTGGCTGTGGTTTCACAGCTACTTAAGTCACAATCGAAAGATGAAATCAGTGCTGTAGCTACAGCTGCAGAAATTCCAGAAATTCCTGCTCCAGGTTGCCTGTAATGCAAATCAGGGTGTGAGCCCAGGAGAACCAGTGCTAATACTGATCCCTCTCTCTGCTTGTTCCAAAAGGAGCGTTCACTTTTCTTTATACAAAATGTGTTTTACCCTGAATTTATCAGAAAAGATCAGATAATTGGATGATATAAACTGGCATAGCTCCATGGATGTCAGCGAGCATTTAATTCATGTGGTAATTTCTGCATTGCTTGGCAGGAGGAACTGCTGCTTTGTGATGGGCAGTAAGGCATGTGGATACTAAAGCATATGCAGTATCATTACTTGATGATTAAATTCCAATATTGTATTTAACAAGTTAGTGTTGTCTTAATCATTGAATCCACTCTGCTGGCATTCACCCTTAATAACTGTCTGAATGCATGTTACCTACCTGGAATCAAAATGGTTATATTTTTCAAAGGTACCATTGTTTGCGCCTTTCCAGAACTCTGACAAAATGTATTTGACAGTAAACTCTACAGTTAGAGCCTTGTCACAGTGCTTTTAGATCTCCAGATGTTTTGCTTATTTTCAATTTCAACACATACGCTGTCATTTAATCAAGGAAAAAACAGATTTTTTTTTCATCTGTCATCTCTTTATCGCTAGCTTTTGGTGAATGACTAGAGAATTTATGTGACACAGATGCAGCCCTCAGCTCCAGTGATGAGATTATATATAGTGTAGTGCAAAAACTACACCCTGACTGCAAATGCCCTGCAGTTGTTACAGTCACGTGCCATTTTTCTGAAGGAGTCTGTAATACAAACTGCTGTTGGATTTCTAGCACATTGCTGGGCTTCTAAACATTTCTGAAATCAAGAATAAGTTGAAGAGCTCTGTCTAGTGGCAATTTCAATAACTGCATCAGAAGGTCATTTTTTCTAACAGAATTCAGCCCACATGTGTTGAATCAATTGAGTTTAAAAATAGATGGTTGGCTTGCTTTTGCACATGGCAAAGGCTCTGAGTACTTTGGGAGAGACACTGGATAAACACGTGAAGCCATATTCTGCCATGCATCTTCTGCTAGTTCTTCTAAAAGATTTGCTGCCTTTACTTAATTTTCACCAGGAGCAACAAAAATCCCTTATGCTTTTCCACCCCTGTAGTTGTAATGTGTAAGGCCTTGCACTTTCCTTCCTCCCCCTAATCCCCCCCCCCCCCCCCCCCCGTGCCGCCCCCATGGTATTTGGTGCTTGATGTTCAAAAATCATCTCATGCTCACAAGCCTGTTGTACTGTGCTGGAACCCTTGCAGGACCAGATGTCATTCTGGTTTAGGTTTTGTGCAAGTTCCATGGTACTTCCCTGCATAGTTCTTAACAAAACCACATAAATGGGTAAATTATTCTGGACCCTGCCAAAACACTGGAGGTGAGAAACTCCCCATTCTGGGCTAGCTGTGCACTCACCTGATGTGAGTATAAGTAATACTTATAAAAGTATACTTATAAAAGTATAGGTATTTTTTTGTGATCTTTAAATACCATTACTCTGTTCTCTGTATGCCAAAAGGTCAAGAGTTGAGGTGGTTCCAGTGTTGGGATGGAAGGTAATGCCCAGCAGGTGGGAGCGCTCCTCTGCATCTGCCAGCGGCATCTTTACCTGCTTCTCCTACCCTAGCAGCAGGCTCAGAGTGACTGGCACCAAGGGGACGTAGAGTGTGATGGGGAAAGGGCTGCCTCCAGCTGCTTTTGAATATTGGGGGCAAAAAAAAACCCCAGTTACAAACAGGACATTAATATGCCCCTCTCTGTAGAAGGATCCTAGATATGAGTACATATGTTCAAAGGTTGTGGCTAAAGAGTAGATTGTCACTGGGCTGTTTATTTTATACAGTGAGTAAACTGTGAATCTAATGATGTGCATTCTTCAGGACAGCCCTTTGAATAACTCACTACAGTATGAAGATGATTCTAAAACACTGTAAAAATTCTAAATCACATCTCCAAAATCTCAGAAATATTTTTTTCCTAAAATATCAAAAAGATTTATAAAAACATTCTTCAAAGAATTTCATTTAACCTCATGATTTTGGTGCTTTATGATGTGTGGAATAGGAACAAAACCACACAAATTGCCTGGTGGCTATTCTGTTAACAGTTTGGGATTCCTATCTCAAAGGATGCATCTGTAAATTCAGAACAGGCTAATGAGACACATCCATAGATACCACTGCTTGTCATCAGTACTAAATCACTGTTCTGTTTAAGACCATGGGTCCTGTGGGAAAAAAAAGGCTAAGTGCAAGCTAGTCCAGGTGAACCTTTGCAGAGGCATTTGAAGCTGCCAGAGACTAAGATCACACCAGTGACAACATTCTATGGCAAGAAAAGCAAAAATTTTTTTTCTGTAGCATCCTTGTGGAATATTCTCAGGTTTTCTGTAGTGTGCAAAGTCACCCTTTCTACGGTGTTGATTTAGATTGTGCATGTGTCTCAATTTCAATAGATCCAGACTGTGTCTCAATTTTCAGAGTGGTATGCTGTAATGAAACACTTTGAGCCCTGCAAGCTTTACATGAAAGATATTTTCATTAATAATTTTTTACATACAAGTTTGGAAAACAATTATTTTTCTTTGAAAAGATCGTATCTGTTAATAAGTTCAAAGTAGGAAATGATTTTTTATTAATGAATGAGGCTTATAAGAGGTGGAAGCAAGGACAGGCAGCCTGGGAAGGATACAGGGATGTTGTCCGGGAAGCTAGGGACCAAGTTAGGAAAGCTAAGGCTCAGTTAGAATTAAACTTAGCTAAAGGTATTAAAGATAACAGGAAGGGATTCTACAGGTACATAGCAAATAAAAAACAGACTAGGGAGAACGTGGGCCCCCTCAGGAAGCTATTGAGAGAACTGGCTACACAGCATTTGGAGAAAGCTGAGGTTCTGACTGACTTCTTTGCCTCGGTCTTCACTGGCAAAGGCTCTGACAGCACCACCAGTCTTGGAAGGTAGACACAGGGACTGTGAGAATGAAGACCTTGGGCCCACTGTAGGAAAGGGTCTGGTTCAAGATCATCTTAAAAATCTGAATGTACACAAGTCCATGGGACCCGATGAAATCCATCAGCGGGTCCTGAAGGAGCTGGCGAATGAAGTTGCTAAGCCACTCTCCATCATATTTGAAAAACTCGTGGCAGTCAGGTGAAGTTCCCGACGACTGGAAAAAGGCAAATATAACCCCCATTTTCAAGAAGGGGAAAATGGATGACCTGGGGAATTACAGACCAGTCAGTCTCACCTCTGTGCCTGGCAAAATCTTGGAGCAGATTCTCCTGGAAGGCATGCTAAAGCACATGAAAAACAACAAGGTGCTTGGTGACAGCCAGCATGGCTTCACTAAGGGCAAATCCTGCCTGACCAATTTGGTGGCCTTCTAAGATGGGGCTACAGAACTGATGGACAGGGGTAGAGCAGTTGATGTCATCTACCTGGACTTGTGCAAAGCGTTCCACACTGTCCCACAGGACATCCTTGTCTCTAAATTGGAGAGACATCAATTTGATGAATGGACCACTCGGTGGATAAAGAACTGGCTGGATGGCCACACGCAAAGAGTTGTGGTCAATGGCTCAATGTCCGGCTGGAGACCAGTAAGGAGTGGCGTCCCTCAGGGATCGGTGTTGGGACCGGTCTTGTTCAACATATTTGTCACTGACATGGACAGTGGGATTGAGTGCGCCCTCAGCAAGTTTGCCGATGACACCAAGCTGTGTGGTTCGGTTGATACCCTGGAGGGAAGGAATGCCATCCAGAGGGACCTCGACACACTTGAGAGGTGGGCTGATGCCAACCTTATGAAGTTTAACCATGCCAAGTGCAGGGTCCTACACCTGGGTTGGAGCAATCCCAGGCACAGCTACAGGTTGGGCAAAGAAGAGATTCAGAGCAGCCCTGTGGAGAAGGTGTTGGAGGTGTCGGTTGATGAGAAAATGAACATGAGCTGGCAGCGTGCGCTTGCAGCCGAGAAAGCCAACCGTATCCTGGGCTGCATCAAAAGGAGCGTGACCAGCAGGTCGAAGGAGGTGATCCTGCCCCTCTACTCTGCTCTTGTGAGACCTCACCTGGAGTATTGTGTGCAGTTCTGGTGTCCTCAACATAAAAAGGACAAGGAACTGTTGGAACAAGTCCAGAGAAGGGCCACGAGGATGATCAGGGGACTGGAGCACCTCCCGTATGAGGCTGAGGAAGTTGGGGCTGTTCAGCCTGGAGAAGAGAAGGCTGTGTGGAGACCTTATAGCAGCCTTCCAGTATCTGAAGGGGGCCTATAGGGATGCTGGAGAGGGACTCTTCAATAGAGACTGTAGTGATAGGACAAGGGGTAACGGGTTAAAACTTAAAACAGGGGCAGTTTAGATTGGATATAAGAAGGAAATTCTTTCCTGTTAGGGTGGTGAGGCACTGGAATAGGTTGTCCAGGGAGGTTGTGAATGCTCCATCCCTGGCAGTGTTCAAGACTAGGTTGGACGAGGCCTTGGGTGATATGATTTAGTGTGAGGTGTCCCTGCCCATGACAGGGGGGGGTGGAACTAAATGATCTTAAGGTCCTTTCCAACCCTAACTATTCTATGATTCTTCTAGGGAT